TGATGGCGGCAGACATCTATTATGTATGGCGCTCAGGGATCTGCATCTAGACGGACTCAAATGTGCAGATCATTTAACTCACCTTAATGTTGCTCTTTCCTCTTTGGGATACACATTTAAAAAACTAGAGCCTAATTGGTTTCCTATTTTCTTGAACTGTTTCCATACGTTTTGTTTTATTTGATTACATTTTGTTTATTTGTTTGTTTGTCCCTAAAGTGATTATAGTGGGTTAAGTGTACAAAGTAGTCTGACATATCGTCAGGTAGATACAACCAAACTGCATCAAAAGTAATGCTGGATCAGCGACAGACAGGTACATTTGATTACAGTATCATGAATATAGAAAAAAAAGTAACAAATATATGAAACTAATATCCATACTGTGACCTGTTTGCTACAGTCTAGACAGGATTTTCATATATTTAGCATTTTTGGGAGTCTGCCATATCAATTCTTTTTAATTATTCAGGCTTAGAATATAGATTTATTAATTCAAATTTATTTTGATGAATGACAATGCAAAGTCCCCTATGGCATATGAGCCCCCTATCTTAATGGTTTACATTAGTCCAAGTTACCAGCCAAAATTGAAAAGTTATTCATACATTTTGCAAAGCTAAGTCAGCAGGTGGTAAAAAATAATAGGCAGCCTAATTTATTATTAGGCAGCTAGAGGGAAGGAGCGTACACCTGCAACAATACTGTAAATTCACTTATTTCTGCATCAGTTTCCAAGTAGGAACTTAGGTCGGTTTCACGGGATCAAAATAATTCTGTAACATAAAAGTGCCTCCCTGCGATGACATGATTTTGCAGTGGAGAGGCACAATGAAAACTACAAAAATAAAACCACTGCAATGTTTCAACTTTCAAGATTTACAGTAACTGTTGTGTATAACCATAATCATGTTCCACTGCAGACATATCTGTGTATTGTCCCAATCTCTCCTGACACGGGTATATCACAGCCACACTGTGTCTTGGTAATAAGAGGATCTCTTAGAGCTTTGGTATGTCTATCAGAATGGAGCACACAGGGAGGGAAGATTTCCTCAGGCTTTCCTCCGCTGAGCTGAGAACACTTCTGTTGACATCAGAGTCCTATCTTACCTTGCCAGTACGGATGTAATGGAGGGAAACACAATGTGCTTACGCTAGCTAGAAGCAGACTGAGTATGACAAATCATGGCTTTATAAATCAGTAATATCAGGTAAATATTAGGATAATCCTAGCTATTTTATGATCATTTACAATTACATTAAACTTTTGTTGTGGTTTTATTTTTCCCATTTTCATGGTAACAACAGCTATGCTGCGAATTCATGACACCGCAAACATGTCTCTCTTGTTTGACTATACTGTACTACAAAATTGAACTTAAAACTCCTTGAAAACCTCCATTTCCTTCTTACTACAAAATAAAACTACTACAAAAGTTTGACAATTTATAGTCTCTTTTTTGGGAGGGGGCATTCACAGATAAAGGTACTGTAGCTGTATGACTCTTGGCCCTCCCTGTTCAAAATTACCACATTTTCAATGATTTATGGATCCGAAACACCATTTCTAGCCTTTATCAAAAGTCAATCTGACTGTAATCTCTTTTGAAATGTTCACAGAGCAGAAAATACAAGCAGGTGAAAGCTGAAGATTGGTATTCCTGGTGGGGCTGACCTCTGTTTCCTCCTCACATCCATTCCGGGCTGCTCGCAAATCTTAGCAGTAATATACATCACACAGGAGGCTGATGCTGCTCTGCCATCAATAACACCATCTTCCCACCAGAGGCTACGGCCACTGAGGGAAAACTGACCAACCAAAGATTTCACAGATCGCTTGACAAATTTCCTACACAAAGAGCAGATTTTATTTTTTCTACATTTTGTGTGTTTTTTAACATACATGTACATGTATATCTTTTAATCATAATTCTTTATTTTACTTTCGCATCGTGGATCATATTTTAATTAAAAAGTCAAGGATCACACTTACCTAATTTGCTCAGCATATATATTATGTTGTCTCACACAAAATTCAACAGCTCTTTAATTGTAATGGGGAATGACAATCACATGGATTGAAAAATTACAATTTCCTCAGAGAGAAATGTAGATGATGATATCTATTGTGACTTTGAAGCCTATTTCTTTGTGTAACATTCAGCCTGGATTACCTGTAACATCAGACCAGTGATAAGTTGACCCGTCTCATACCCAGACACGCGTGGATGCCACTGTTTGTATGACTTTTTATATTACATCATCCATCATCGGATCCAAAGCTGGACGGACTGAGCAAATTCCTACGTAACTACCGACTTGAAGTTTCAGCCGACAAGATTTGAATATCTTCGGTTGTAACATGAAAAATGTTTTGATAGAGCTCCTAATTGGCACAGTTATCAATGAGATTTCACGACAATCCACTTCCGTTAACACCCATGAGATCCAGTGATGGATTCTTTTCATTAACCAGTCCAAGAAATCCAATATGTAATGTAATGTATGAGAAATTGGCACTTAGCACCAACATATGAATTATAATGATATCAAAAGTTTTTAACTTGATGCAACACAAAACATGAGATATGAGATTGCAGACTTCCAGGAAGTATTCTTGGTTTACATGACATTCAAATCTACCCCATTACCTGTGTCTGACCTTTTGACTTCCTGTCATTCTGCCTGTCAATCTTCCCCTACCCACATGTTGTTAACCTACTCAGTCTGGACAAACAAACACACAAACCCACAGCTCAGCCTCTTTGTACCTACAAGCTTTTATGTAATATAATTATAACCAATCCCACATACTCAAACCATCAAGTAATGACAAGCCTTTGTACAAAATAACATCATCTAATGATGATCTGCTTTCAATCAATGACATCTTAATGATGCAAACAGTCAAGAGATCTGATCTACTATCTAATGATGATCCCTTGACTAAACTCTCAGATCTACATCATGATGGATACCTTCATTATCCACCAGAGGTCTGATAATGATCCCAACTAGCACTAGCACTAAACACCAAAGAGAAGAGTGATGAAACAGTTCTAAGATGTTTGTGTGCATGGTTTGTTCCTGCCAAATGTCTCTATTACTGTTGAGAAGTAACAAAAACACAGTGAGAAAAACCTTCAATCAACAGGCCTGGTTCCACTTGTGCTCTTACTGGATGATAAGGCAAAAGCCAAACTTGTTCGATCATTTGCCACTGTTAATCTGTTCATTGTACAGTTTCTTTTCTTGCCAGCTAGAATTTAGCAAATCATTGTGTTGGTCCAGTACAATTTTATGCACATATACCGGTACATTTGTATATGTTGCAGTACTAGTATTTGCAGAAGCTCTGTGTTCAAATCATTATGTTGGGTACCTGTCTACCACATGTGCCTTTTGTTATTTTGTCTAGAGAAGGAGAAACACTTTCAAGGTGCAAAGATGCCCTGCAGGTTTCCCCATTTTCAAACAGCCCATGAGGCTTGAAATAAAAGGAAAGAACACAAACCAGAAAATGACCCTTGCTGTTATACTGACAGAAATATCATTTGTGTGCTCCTAATAGTAATAAATTAATAGAAATCTAGTGTATCTTTCTATTGACAAGTTGATAGATATACATACTAAACTATGTTTGTCTTGAAGAGCAGATTGACTTTTGAGACAGTCCCTTACTTTCATCCTTTTAGCTGCCTGTGATCATAAATAAATCAGTTCTCTAAGAGGTCCACTTCAGATTTCCCCTAACTGTACATCACAGCTATCTGATCAGCTTAAAAATATACGAATACAACACAAATAATTATCCTTGTTATATATGAAAAAGCCAGTCCAAGAGTATTCCAAATGACATCTACAGTTGACAACAAGTACTCTTATAAATCTTTTACCCTTCCTTATATCACCACAGTGTTAGTGACCACAGCAATTCATTGCATAGATACTGGACAGTGTTAACTCTCAGATAATTCATGAAGGACCATGCTACAAAACGAGGCATGCACACAGACACAGACACACACACACATACCTGCATCCAGCCCATGCTTATTGACTAGGATCACACATGGTACAGAGCAAGCAGGAAGCCTGTATCCCCCAGTACATTCTAGGACAAGCCTGAGCCTACTGCCGACATGGCTGCAGCTGCAGCTAAATGTGGTACAATTGGACGGCAGACAGAGGGTCACTCTGGGGGTTACCCTAATACTGGATACCAGACGTATATATCTGGCAGACTCTCCAGGTATCCTCTAAACTAGGCTATGCTACAAATTAGAATACTAATAGCATTTTCCAGCCACAATGGAAGGAAAAGATGCCCTTAGACAATTTACGGCCTTGCATTCAGAATTATAGTACCCACTACCTGTTTAAAAGAAAGAACATTTTATTGCTTTAGACCACATGTGTATCATTTGTATGCATATCTACAGCTTACAATCTTGTATTAATTATAGAGAGACTCGCTGAACTGACAGTCTAATCTCTAGTAAGATCCCTACCTCAATCATATGGCAAGCAGCCACAATGTTCTACTGAGGCAGCTACTGGTACAGCATATTGAGATCTCCTTGGAAATTTGAAAATAACTCACCATTACCTATAAATGGGGGAATATTGCCAGGAGAAGGCTTTCAACTCAAGATAATTTGTATGTAGTATAATGCTTGTTCCATACAGCAGAGCCCCCTAGCTACCAATTGTAGTACTGTATTGTAGTTATGCTACAACCATGAAGGTATCATACCTCCAAACAAAACCAACAGGACAGTTTGTGAACAGAGATATAACATCAATTACCAGTTAAAAACCACTGTGGAGTGTCACTATACATGGAATGGAAGGAAGATATACCATTACCACAGAGTACTAGTAGTACATACAAGTACATACATAGGAAATAAGTTTCAAGACTTAAGGATGACCACTAAATGACTTACCAGTATGTTTTAGCAGTATTTCACAAACAGAAGTGAGAGTGAACTTACTGAGCACATTTGTCTTTTTGATGGTTGGATATTTTTCTGCACCCTCAGATCAGGCCTGTCAGCAGCTAGGACCCTTATGTTGTACAGGTTGTTTCTGTAGTAAACAATAATAAAATTATGATGGTTCATTGTTTCTGAATGCATTAGCATTAAGGTAGCAACATGAAAATTACTGTGAGATAGAAAATATACTTGTGTAACAGTTGCTGGTTTTGAATTTTAAATCAATGTACATTTGTATAATTGTAAACCTGTTTTTCATGGACAGTGTACATGTAGCTAAACAAGGAAGGTTCAAAAAGGAAGACGCCTGGTCATACGTTTCTTGATGGGAACAGCTTCAACAGTTTCATGTTGTAAGATGGTTACTGTACTGTAAATTATTAACTTTTTGTGGCAGTTCTATTTTTGCAGTGACGTTGATCTTCATAACACTGTGAAGACGCCTTTTAAATGTACTACTACTAGTACTACTAGTAGTAGTACATATGGCAAGCAGCCATATGTACTGCTATATGTACTACTGTACTAGTAGTAGTAATACTAGTAGTAGTAATACTACTACTAGTACTACTAGTAGTACTACTGTACTACAAAATTGTTTCAACCATGAATTTAAAAAAAAATTCCTCTTTCCTTCCTACTGCGTAGTAAAACCACAACAAAAGTAAATGGATTTACAGTTGGAGGATGTGAATTACTTGACTACTAGTAATGCTGCACCTGTTATGTGGTTAAATATAAACATCTTGCCCTGGGTTATATGGTCAGGCTGTTGATGATATTTTGAGCCTAGACTGGCAAACAAAAGCACTTAAACAACTCTTGCGAAGGACGCTTAGAATTTAGTGCATTAGCCCATTACTGACGACAAGGAAACCACTCACCTGTTATCCGAGTCCGCCATTGTCACTTCCTTGCTAGTTGTTGAGAGCCAAAGCACGCCGTAACTTTAGCCTACATGGTTCATCCTATTTAAGCTGCTGTCTAGCACAGTTTGGGGGTATAGCAGAAAGATCTGGAAAACAACAGCCAGTATAATGTCTGCTTTGGACGAGAAATAAGTATGACTAATGCATTAACATAGCGTGCGGTCTCTCCACTGAACACAAACAAGTCTGGAACCCAAAATGCAAATTGAATTGTCCTGCTGTTGCCACACCCATGTTTGCTGTAGAGACACACCTGTTAGAATAAATGGATTATCCCAGGTACACGACATAGTTTTAGCTTACCTGCCATGACCATACTGATACTATAACATACCGTAATACATATATCTGAATATGGCTCGGAAATTCATCAAGATGGTCCAATACTGCTGGAGAATGTGTCATCCATGATCCAACACCTTGACCTCACTTCGGAAGTTCCTCAAATTTGGAATGCTGATGTTAGGTTTTCTTTGCCTCAGCTGCATAAATTAGTTACACTTAGGTGCACAACGCAGCCTAGCTGGATGTCTTTGGTTTTTTGCATACTAGTACCCTTTTGGCTCTGCATACCCAGTTTTTGGACCTCTATCATAACATGTATCCCACACCTTTTTTCAGATATCTATCTAGACTGGAACACACTCCTACACTAGTCCTGCATGGTTGCAATACCACGAAAATTGTTCACGTTTTAGGTCCAAAACACTGGAACATCAATGTATAGGTACTGTACCTGAATATTCTTACATTTGCAGTTTTTGTTACTCAAAATATACTATTCCTGCTGTAATTAGATATTTTAGCAATGAAAAACATGTCAATACCGGGTGGAAATGTATGGGTTCTCTGCATAACTTACCTAAAGTCTAAATAAACATTTGGTTTAGTGTTGAAAATCACTTTTATTTTGTCAAATTGTTAACGTACAGGTACCTAAACCTTTCACAGTATTGGTACCTGCACCTGATAGTACATAGCACTATGGTACACATATTTCTTGAATAAGGAGTTGGCAGGTGCAATAGACAGTGACATGTTTCAGGTTTTGCTACAATACTCTATGCATATTAATTATACACCAAACTACCACACAATCAAATTTTCACCCAGCATTAATATTTTGTTGAAAAAATTGTACTTATCAATTCTCTAACGCTTACTTTGGAAAACAAAAACTTCCTTATATAGTTATAAATTGTACATTGTTATATCATAAGTGGATCTAAACACTTTATTTTAAATTTTCAAACAAACAAAGAAACTACTGAAAAAGAAAGAACCAATCTTCAGAATTCTTTGAGACTCTTTATACCTGTTGGAAATATCCATACAACCTCCTTGGTTTTAGCATGAACGTCCTTGGTTTTAGTTAGGTCAGCTATTTATTTATTCATGGTAATCCCCATTTCAATTGCCTTTTATAAGCTTTTATACCTTTTATACCTCAAAGGTAAAATGTCTGCAATGCACCGAATGGTCAAAGTACTTTTTGAACACGAAGAATGGTCGTTTGTCATGGTTAGTTCTTGCTAATGGCTGGGGCCGACAGCGCCTTTTGATGTGTTTGTGTTAATCTTATTTCAGCAGACCTCTTGCTGAGACAAACAATGGTATCAACATCATCACATGCTGCGTTTGGTGTATCCAGCGGGGTATTGTCCGAGAGTCACGAGTACTAGCATCATTTTTTCTCACCAAGGACATTACAATGCCCTTGTGCAAATCAATAGCTAGCTATGGAAGGTGCAAGTTGGCCTACAAAACGGCGTGTTGTTGTTACCAGTTCCATGAGTTGACTAACCCTAGGAACGGACATGACCTCAGCGTTTCAGCCGAATGACATCCGTGCGTGAACACAAAAGGAGAACGTCTGAAGAAAAGCTAGACATTTTCAGCGTACTGAAACAAATCCCCATCATTTTCTTTCATGTACGGCATTGCTGTGTTATTTTTATAGTAGGGAAGAATACGATAGATTCTACAGACAGATACCCGATCAACTGCCCAGTTGTCCACAA